AGGGACTCACAAGCAGGCGGTCACCAGGAGCCAAGGCTAACTTGAAGGTATATATACATATAAAATGGATTCAACCTTCACTAGCAGGAAATTTTACAGCGAATCATTTTTTTTCTCCTGAACTAAACATTATTTTAAATGAAATAGAGAGAAGTGGGGAAGGGAATCTAAGGTGGTCCCTATAGGTCTTAAATGGATGCAGCTACTGATCACTGGCTCCCTTTATGGATCCTCAGATTTGCTAGTCCCTGTTTTAAGGGATTTATTGATCCTTGCAGTAACTATTATCTTTTAAAAAGAGGAAGGAAGGAAGGAAGGAAAGATAGATAGGGAAGGAAAGGAAGGAAGGAAGGAGAAAAGAAAGAAAGAAGGAAAAAAAGAAAAAAGAAAGATAGATGGGAAGGAAGGAAGGAAGATGGATGGAAGGAAGGAAGGAAGGAAGGAAGGAAGGAAGGAAGGAAGATGAAGGAAGGAAGGAAAGAAAGAAGGAAGGAAGGGAGGGAGGGAGGAAGGAAGGAAGGGGTGCAAGAGAAACTATTCAATCAAAGCAGTTATCACCTGAGTCATGAGGTGCATCAAGATACAATAACTTTTTTTATTTAAAAGGGGGGAGGTGATGATTAGATATCTTATCCAGCCCTGCCCTGCCCTGCCCTGCAGAATGTGAACTATTTTATTCAAGCAAGACGAAATAAAGATATAGCAATTTGATTGTGGATTGAAACCTAGCAACAGCATTGCTGTAATAATAATAATTTTGCAGGCAGCTGAAGAAACGGTAGGCCATCTATTTAACCTATTGCACAAACGGACTATAGGCCACAGCAAAGGGGCAACACCAGTGCACTGAAAGATCCTCAAGAAAGAACTGGTGGGACCATAACACGAGAAAGTCATAGAAAACGATGAAACTAAAGCGCTCTGGGACTTTCTAATTCAAACAGATTGGCACCTGCCACATGAACTCTTCCCAATTGTTGATATGAAAGACCCCCCCCCCCAAAAAAATAAAGTCTGGATAACGACATTGCAGTACCTGGAGGCAGCAGAACAGAAGAGAAAGGTGGGGAGGGAATCACAAAATATAAAGACCTGCAAATAGAAGTAGAACGACTGTGGCAAAAGAAAGCAAAGATAATCAGGCACCTTGGGTGCAATCCCAAAACAACGGGAGCATCACTTGGACACCATCGGCATTGACCAATTCGCCACCAGTCAATTGCAGAAGGCAGCTTCAGTTGGAACAGCGTATACTACATCCTAGGAAAATATGTTTAATACCATCAAACCGCAAAGTCTGCCTATCCCCCAAGTGCTTTTTCCGGCTGGCTGTGACAGAAAAATAATTGTGGGATCCTTTTTCAGGCTGACCTCAAAAAAGAAATCCAGCCGCTTGCTTGCAATCTATGGAGTGAAAGGCGTCCGATTGTGCTCCAACTTCAGAAGCCAATCTAGAGTAGAGTTTTGTTTTTGTTTCTTTAATTAACATCAAAACCTGAACCACCGCGTTCTACAATATTGCCACTCCAAGAAGGGCAGAGAAGGAGGTACCTGTTGCAATCCTGCACAGCTGAAAGTTCCTTTTACTTGGTGACGTTTGCTTTTGAAATATACACTGTAGGATGACACTAGAAGGCCGCGGTGTGAGTTTACGTTCTCACACCGCAGGAGCCCACGGAACGAAAAATGGGTGTGGAGTTCCCAGCAGACCTACACGAGTCAAGTCAAAATTCTTCACCCAGCTTTTAGAGATCTCCAAATATCCTATCGTTGCATTAATGGAAAAGGTTTGCACCATGCAAAGCGGAGCTGTCCAGAGCTTTCTTCCATGATTAGGGACCCAGCGGTAAAAACTTACAGCGTGCCCTTGCGTGCAAACAAGGATAGTGGAAAAAATATTAGAGACAAGATCCTCGCGATGAAAAGATCTCAGAGACTGTTGAATCTCTTTAGTGCCTATTTTACCGTAGGCAGGAGCTTGGCAAAGAAGTCTTCATTCTCCTAGTAGTTCGATGTATTGTGTATTTTATTCCATTTTGCTGGGAATTCGTCGTGGGTTTTTTTTAAAAAAAAACAAAATAAATAAAATTTTAACCTATTCAGCTGCTGGGCATAAACACACACACACACACACAGAGAGAGACACACACACACAAGATTATGAAGGGTGCTGTGTAAATGCTTAATTTAAAAAAAAAACAAAACTAGTTGTGGATTGCAATCCTAAAACGCTTATTATTAGGGAGCGAAATCCGACTGAAGTGAATATTGGGGCTCAAGTCGAGCGGCTAAGATTTCAGGTTGGATGTGAGTCTCTCGCGTTCACAATCATGTGCGCGTCTGCCTGCCTGCCTTATGCGCGTGTGAGAGAGACAGAGAGCGAAATGGAGAAGAACGACAAAAGTTTTCGGTCGATTGCTGACCCCCCCCTCAGCTTGCAACGGAACCAGGGAACAACTGTCCATTTAGACATGGCCGGCTTCCATATTTCTACGCTTTTCGACTTGCGTCGTCTTCTTGGATTTGCTGCGATCCCGAGGAGATCTCAGCTTCTCCTAAGCCGCTTCAGAAATCGCGTAAGAGGAAATCAGCCACCCTGCCCGGACGAGAAACGTCAGGTGGGAGCAACTCCGTTTGAAAAAGCTGACCGGAGTTTCCAAGACCCAGTCAGTTTCCCTTCATTTTAACCTTTGTCTCGTTGAGGGAAATGCCTGGGTTTAAACCAGGTTCCTCTTCCGCTTCCTCGCTTCTCTCTTCCCCTCCTATCTCAACGGATGGGTTAGTTAGGGTCCCTCGCCTTAAAAAGAGAGATCTTAAGCAGCTCCAGCCAGAGGTGAAATCCGTTGTTTACATCTGCCTGCCTGCCTGCCTACCTAACATTTGTCTGTCTATCTGTCTCTCTCTCTCTCTCTCTCTCTCTCTCTCTTTCTCTTTGTCTGTCTGTCTGTCTATCTATCTATCTATCTATCTATCTATCTATCTATCTATCTATCTACCTATTGCCTGTCTGCCTACCTACCTACCTACATTTGTCTATCTGTCTCTCTACCTCACTTTCTCTTTCTCTATCTATCTATCTATCTATCTATCTATCTATCTACCTACCTACCTATTGCCTGTCTGCCTGCCTACCTAACATTTATTTGTCTGTCTGTCTGTCTGTCTATCTCTTTCTCTTTTTTCTCTTTCTCTTTCTCTGTCTATCTATCTATCTAGCTAGCTATATCTATCTATTGCCTGTCTGCTTGCCTACCCAACATTTATTTATCTGTCTGTCTCTCTCTTTCTCTTTCTCTTTCTCTATCTATCTATCTATCTATCTATCTATCTATCTATCTATCTACCTACCTACCTACCTACCTACCAAACCGTTTACGGGTTGCGTCTGGTTGGGCTGGCCGTTCTCCCGCTCCTATCGAAAGCAATGTCCGCTTCGAAGCAGCGGGTTGCGCCCTCGTAAAAGATAAACCGCAACCTTCAGAGTGGGGTGGATTCCCCCCCCCCCACTCCGCTTCTATTCCGGCATCCTGGACTATACCTCCCATCACGCCCAGCCCACAGATTTGAGGGAGGAGGACGATGGAGAGCGGGAGTCCATGAAACCGACAAAGTGGGCGAAGGTTGACCCGTTGCCCATCCTTTATAGGATTTGAATCTTTATCTCACCAGGGAGCCATTTTTAGAGAGATCCAACCCGCCTTAAAAAGCCTTGCCTGCCTTAAGGCCAGGGGTGTCAACAGGAGATCAGCCTCCCCCCCCCCAGAAGTCAGCGGGCTATACTTTTTTTTTTTTTTTTTTTTTAGTAAATAACTGTTTGGGCGGCTGAAAGGAGACCAGGGGCTTCCCAGGGACCCCGCACACCCAACCTGCTCAGGAGAAAGCCCGACTGACTTCCAAGCCAAGAAAGAGAATTAGAAGAGAAATTAAATTAAATTGCACAGAAACACCCCCCCCCACACACACACACTCCACCTCCCCCAGCGAGAGTTTTTGACTTGGCAACAAACAACTTCATTTATTACGACACTACTCAGTGGAGCTCCCCCCTCCCCACTTTCCCATTTCTCGAAGGGCCCAGTCGCCTTCTCCGGACTGCGAGAGGCCCAAGGGGGGGGGGAGAGAGAGCGCTTCGTCTCCTTCGCCCCCTCCCCATCTTCTCTCCCCCCTTTCCTCCCCCCCCCACTTTGCTAGGGCCAAAAGAACCCAGCCTCTCCTGAAGGCGTCTTCCCTTCTCCGTTGGCCAAGGGAAGGCAGCGCGGAGCCCCCTGCTACTTATCCCCCCCTCCCTTAAGGAGGGGCCGGCCGCTTCCCCCTCAACCCTCTCCGCCATCCCCTCCCCCTCCCCAGTTACCTCTCCCTCTTCCATCCCCCTCGTCGTTTCTACCCGAGTCCCTTTCTTTCGTTCCTCTCTTTCTCTCCCTCTCTCCCTTCCTTCTCTAAGGGCTCCCCGCGCCTTCCGAAACCAACAGCGCTTTTTACGGTTCGGCGAACCGACCTGGAGACTCGGCTTTCCTAACGCAGCCTCGCCTCTGCGCGTCTCCCCGACATTGGGCAAAGGGGGCAGTTTTATTTTCTCCCCCAGCTGCTGTTGGGGCTTGTTTCGTTTTGTTTTATTTTTCAGAGGAGGAGGAAGAAGGAGAAGGAGGAGAAGGAGAAGGAGGAGGAAGAGGAGAAGGAGAAGGAGGAGAAGGAGAAGAAGAAAGAGGAGAAGGAGAAAGAGAAGGAGAAGGAGGAGAACGAGAAGGAGGAGCAGAAGGAGAAGGAGAAGGAGAAGAAGGAGGAGGAGAAGGAGAAGGAGGAAAAGGAGAAGGAGGAGAAGGAGAAGGAGAAGGAGGAAAAGGAGAAGGAGAAGGAGGAGAAGGAGAAGGAGAAGAAGGAGGAGAAGGAGAAGGAGAAGGAGGAAAAGGAGAAGGAGAAGGAGGAGAAGGAGAAGAAGGAGGAGAAGGAGAAGGAGAAGGAGGAAAAGGAGAAGGAGAAGGAGGAGAAGGAGGAGAAGGAGGAGAAGGAGGAGGAGAAGGAGAAGAAAAACGAAGCAAACTTGCCCTCGTTCTTTCCCCTCGCCAGGCTTTGGAGGCTCGCATGGAACCGAGCAAAGAGAATTTTTGCAAAGAAAAAATCCTGCCGGTGATGCGGCCCGACCTCTAAAGAAAAAAAAAACCAAGAAAAAAACCAACCCAACCAACCAAGGTAAAGCTGCTTAACGACGTTTCCGCGCTGGGCTGAGAACTCCCGTCCGGGCTGAAGCAGGATCGCAGCCGAGGGGTGGATCGGAGGAGAGGGATTCCTCTTTGATTGACACTTTCCCCCCCCCCTTCCCTCTGCCCGCGCCTTCTCTGGGGCGCTGCTTCGACAGCAAAAGGGCCCCGGCCATGGCTTTGAGTTCCCGGGCGCACGCTTTCTCCGTGGACGTTTTAATGGGCAACGCCAACCCTGCCAAGCGCAAACTGAAGGATCTGGAAGAGGATCTCTCCTCCGAGACCAGGACGGAAAAAGCGGCTTTCCGGAGAAGCCAAGCGCCCGGTAAGCTCCGTTTCTTCTCGGATCTCTTCCAGGATTAATCAGGAGTCCAGCAGCAGTGAGGATCGGGACCCCTAAATCCACGGAAGCCCCCCCCCTTTTTTTCCTTCCCTACTCTGATCCGCGCAAAGCTTCAGCGCCGGGGGGGGGGGGAAGGATTCTCCCATTTGTTTCCCGGAGTTTGAAAGAGCAAAGTTTTAGGATTGGGTTCAACTTAACGACTAAGTTAATCCATAGGATCAGGAATTCACCAGTCAGAAGGCGGTCCCAACAACAGTCTCCTGCTTGAGCAGGGGGTTAGACTAGAAGACCTCCAAGGTCCCTTCCAGTTGTTCTGGTTGATTGGTTGACAGGCTTGTCCCCCCCCAAAAAAAACGCGCTAACCAAGGTTAGCACTGATGGAGCATTGCCAGGCAACGAGGTGAACGGGTTCTGTGTTGACTCCCTCCCTTATTGATTAGAAATTAATTCTAATTTCTCGGAATTAAAAACCACATAAAGCATGCTTGTTTGCTAAGTTAAATCCGCCACGGGAGAGAAACTGGCAAGAGGGAGAGGGCTATGGGTCAAGGGAGTCCAAAGGGAAACAGGCCACAGGAGAATGGCCTCCTGCATCTCGATCTAGGAGACCTTTAGTTTCCAATAACAAATACCAATTTCAGATTTCCATTGCTGAACAATTCTGCAATTCCAATAATCCCAGGCCACTTTTCATTTGGGAGAGAAAGAGAAGCCAGGGCTGAGAACATAATATGTAAGTGAATTATTATTTCCTCCAGGTGCCATAGGAGAATTATTGACATTCCCGCCCAGGCTTCTAATGGGGTAACCTAAAACGAATGGGGGTCTATCTTCCTTGTTTAAGGGAGGAAAGCTCTGGAGCAACTCAAGGAAGGGGTGCCATTATCATCTTTCTCTACACACACACACACACACACACACACACACACACACACACCGCGGAAGGAAGTCTCTGAACTTCTGAACCGGGTTCACATAACATTCTTGACCCACTTAAAGAGGTAATGGCTGCATTGGCTCAGCCAGCAAAGCTGGATAGGCACTCACCCCTGTTGGTTAGCTGTCTGTAGGATTGGATAAATTTGTCATTCCAAAAAGCGGGAGCTCAGCAGTCTGTCCCATGAAGACACAGCAACAAAGATGGTTAGGGGACTGGAGGCTAAAACATATGAAGAACGGTTGCTGGAATTGGGCGTGCCAAGTTTAATGAAGAGAAGGACCGGGGATGACACGACAGCAGTGTTCCAATATCTCAGGGGCTGCCCCAAAGAAGAGGGAGTCAAGCTATTCTCCAAAGCCGCCCCCGAAGGCAGGACAAGAAGCAACAACGGATGGAAACTAATCAAGGAGAGAAGCAACCTAAAATTAAGGAGAAATTTTCTGACAGTTAGAACACTTAATCCGTGAAACAATCGGCCTCCAGAAGTTGTGGATGCTTCAACACTGGAAGTTTTTAGGAAGAGATTGGACAGCCTTTTGTCTGAAATGGTACTATAGAGTCTCCTGCCTGAGCAGGGGGTTGGACTAGATGACCTCCAAGGTCCCTTCCAGCTCTGTTGTTCTGTTCTATTCCGACAGCCATTAAACAGTCACCTCAAAGCTCATTTCCATTGCTTCTCATGTTTTATTTCTTCTTCGCGTTTCTCTTCTCCAGAAAAGAAAACCAAAGGCGAAATAACGCTGTCTCTTTGCGAGGAAGCCAGAGGAGAAACTGGGGAGATCCAAGTGGACTTACAAGGCTCAGAGCTGTGGAAAAGATTTCATGAAATTGGCACCGAAATGATCATCACCAAAGCTGGCAGGTAAGATCTAGACTTGTAGGCGATCACCTGGGTGCACATATTTCGTCTCCTTCCCGCTCCCTTCCGCTGTACACATCCTGCCTTTAAATCCTCCCAGTCCTAGAAAGATATTTATTTCTGCTAAACCACAAAATGTGGATATGATTTTATTCTATATTCACACGCTGTACTTCTTTGGACTAGTCCTTAGAAGAGGGGGGGGGTCAACCTGTTCTCCAAAGCACCTGAGGGCAGAACAAGAAGAAACAAACAATAAGTGGAAGGGCTTGTCTCCAGAGGTTTTGGATGCTCAAGCACTGGAGATTTTTAAAAGAGATTGGACAATGTTTTGTCTGAAATAGTATAAGGTCTCCTGCTTCAGTACGGGGTTGGATCAAAAGACCTCCAAGGTCTTTTTCAATTCTGTTCTTTCTTTCTTTCTTTCTTTCTTTCTTTCTTTCTTTCTTTCTTTCTTTCTTTCTTTCTTTCTTTCTTTCCTTCCTTCCTTCCTTCCTTCCTTCCTTCCTTCCTTCCTTCCTTCCTTCCTGGAAATGTATACAGGGTTTCAGATTACTATCTTAATCCATAGTGTGGTGGATTTGTTGGGCACAGCATGTCAGGTGACACACAGTGTTGCGTGAAAACCAACCAGAAAAAAAGCCGCTTGGCCACTGGTTGTAAATCTAAACGTCTTCGAACAAGCCATGTTTTAGTTCAGAGCATTTTGCAAACTCAACCCCAGTGATCGGTTTGTGGATCAAGCAGCTCTGCCAGCCCAAAATAATTGAGCTAATTAAATAAATTATAGCTACCGTCAGTGACTATTGGGAGCAGAAACATTAAGCTTCCTTGAAATTAATATTCTCATGCTGATCAGGTTCACACATGCGTAAGACAAGATATGCAAGGTTCACCTCAGCCAATGGAAACTCCTGGGTAACCTTTGTCAGGGTCCTGGCTAAGAAGGTTTGGACCTGATTAGTACTTAGATAAGAAAAACATTTGGAGAATCTCAGGGCCACAGACTTGATATGAAAATAATCATAATAAAATAATAACATCCCCCCCCCAAAAGCAATTTCAAATCATAACCGTCTTGTCACTAAAACTAGATGGCTAGAGTCATAATGACCTCAGGAGTCAAATTTGCTTGAGAACAGATGCTTCTTTATTGTGTGAACGCAGCTAGTGTGGTTTGTTTGAGCTATGAGTTATGGCTTTTGTAGGATGAAAACCCCTCAATAAATAAAAGAGTGTTTCACTCAGTAAACCGTGGTTACTTCCGTGAGAAGTCATCACCATAATGATGACTAGATGGTGCTATAAATCACTTGTACAGAAAGGGAACTGATATGATACCATTTTAAAGCAATTTGTCTTCAGTAAAACACCAAGAATTCTGTGAAACTGGGCTTAAGCATTTTAAAGTTTGCTAGAATTATATCACAATGCCTTGTTTTGGCTTGACTCCATGCTTTCTTTCTCCTTTGGACAATTGGATGCTCTTTACTGGCTTAAACAAACTACTTAAGACAGCAATGGTGATGACATTGATAAGTCAGATGTAGTCATTGCAGCATTAAAACTCACAAAAAGGCTACACGTCTTGCTATTTCTAGGATTAATCTGCCCTTCTCCTAAAGTGGGTGTTAAAAATCCATCCTTCTTCACCCAAGAGGGCAACAGATGACTTTCCTAATGTTCTACCTTCATTAAATGCCCCTCCCCACAACGCAAAAATATCAGCAATGCTGAACCTAGAACATTTGTTGTTGTTAGTCGAACAAAACAAAGCTGGAGAGCCACAGTGGCACTCTTGAGCATGGGCTACATGGGCTGTTTAGGGGAAACATTTGGAAAACAAAATTAACTATCATTACTGTGAAACCGTGAAAGAGTAAGGAGCTTACTCTTATCTCTATTTTGCTTTACTTCGGCTATTTATCTGCAAATCTTATTCTAGAGGTATTCTGTATTACCGGGTTCTTGGTGTCCTCTGAGCTTAATTGTTTGCTTTCAGACGGTTTCATTACCCAAGAACTGATGATGTTACTTCCTCCTCCTCCTCCTTTATGAAAGAAAACATCAAGCTCAGAGAACACAAAGAATTCAATTCTGAGCTACAAATATTCTATTCCATTAATATTTTGTGCATTACTACTTGCAATACTTCTTTCATTTACCTAGATAATTAGGAGAACTAGGAAACATTTAAATGCCTTTCCTTCAGAAGCATCCTCAAATTTCTTAATATTCTTCCTAATGGGACTGGAGAGAGCAGTAGTAGGAAACGAGGCAGGAAGAGTACTGAACACAACCAATTGATTTATAAGTATGCCAAAAAAAGTCCTTTCTGTTCAACCAGAAATTCTTCCAAGTAACAACCTCACCAGATTGCAGCTTATAATTATTCCCGTTGACAAACTGCAGTGAACTTTTAAGAATTTGGTTCTCCTAATAATGAAAATGCGTAATTCTACAGCCAAGCAATTTACATTGATCTATCTTTTCTTTTTTCTTGTATTCCCCCCCACCTCAAATGCATAGTACAGATTAATACTCTGGGTGTGGTATAAATGCTTTGGGGTTGGGGGAAAAAAACCCAACAGCTTGTTTGAAAGTTGCAGAAAGATGTGAGGCTGGCAAGTGAAATGTTACAGTAAGGTAACACAAATTTTCTTTCATGCAGGAGAATGTTTCCTTCGGTCAGAGTTAAAGTAAAAGGTCTGGATCCAGTGAAACAATATTATATTGCTATAGACGTGGTCCCAGTGGACTCGAAAAGATACAGGTAAAAAAGTTTTGATTTTTTTTCCAAAGGACATAAACTTATGGATTTTTTAAAAAACTTATATTCTAAGCCAAACTGTCTCTTTCTTTCTTTCTTTCTTTCTTTCTTTCTTTCTTTCTTTCTTTCTTTCTTTCTTTCTTTCTTTCTTTCTTTTTCTTTCTTTCTTTCTTCTTTCTTTCCCTCTTTCTTTCTTTCTTTCCTTCCTTCCTCTTAATGAATGAATGAAAATTTATGGAAGGTTTTAGATTTAAATCAGTTTAGCTATGCCGGGTTCATCTGGGAAAGATTTGGGAATGGATCTGCCTGTCCCTTTTGGAGATATTAGATTTGGAGAACAGTTCTCCCCTTTAGTGGCCTATGAAAAGGAAGATTCTCCCTGCCCAGGTCAACAAGACCTTCAGTGAGATCCTGTTAGAACCCATTTCCCCGGGAGCAAAGCAGCAGGCAAACAACTCACAAAATTCACAACTCATAAGATTTGCTTTGGAGCTCCTTCTTCCGCTTCTGAACCTCTGCAGTTTAAGCCCATCTTCACCCTCACGTCTCCTCCTAGTTGATTTGGTTGTTGAATATACAATTTATAAAACCAGGTCCCCCTTTTCAGTATCTTTTCTACACACTGGCAAAATACACAGGCAGTTACTTGTAAGTAACTGCCACACAGAGCTGGAATCTGAAACAATCATTTCCAGTTTGAACTTGATCGGGATTCTTCCCCGGGTCTTACCCGCTCTGAACAGAGTGAAAAGCAAAGCAGTTATCAAATAATGAGGATGGTCTGTTTTCCTGCTCTTCTTATTGTTCCCTGGGAGGGAGGGAGGGAGGGAGGAGGCCTTTGATCACAAACACCAGTTGGCCGAGAAATGGAAAAAGTCCCTGCAACTTTGGAAACTTTGAAGAGTTCGGGCTACAAAGTTCTCCCAACTTTCCAAAATGCACAATTCTTTCTCTTTCTTTTTCTCCAGCCTAGCCCCCCCCACCCTCACTTCCACGTGCCCAAAGGAAGAAGGGAGGAAAGAGAGCAAAAGGCCTCTTTCTGGAGCTTTGACCACACAAAACTCTCTTCCCACTGAATTTGGGACTGAGATAGAGCCGTGAGCTTAGCAGAGCTAAAAGTGAAAAGGGGAGAAACGGCAATAACCCCGCAAAAGTTTTTACAAGCAACACTTAAGTTGATCAAACCCTGGGAATAAGAAATATAGAATGCAAAAAAAAAAAAAGATTAGTTAAGTGGACTGTGAATGATTAGCCTAACCTCCAATGCAGAAATAATGCTGATTGCTGTTATTCAGTGGAGAGCAGAATACAGTGAATTGATTTCCCAAGCTAATTGGAGGTCCTTGGCTCAAGACCTAGTGCTTTAGTTTCCCATATGTTAAGCTGTAATGTGACTGATGTAATTTTTGGCATAGTCTATGACATGAATCCTAATGTTCTGGCTTTTAAGCTGCAATTCATGGCTTAATAGTGGTTGTTGTAAAATCAGCCAGTTGTGTCTTATTCAACCAAAACAGTGATGCTCTGCCCCTTGTTCCGTTTGGCAGGTATGTCTATCACAGCTCGCAGTGGATGGTGGCTGGAAACACGGACCATTCGTGCATCACACCCCGGCTTTATATGCACCCGGATTCCCCCTGTTCAGGAGAGACATGGATGAGGCAGATCATCAGCTTCGATCGGGTGAAGCTAACCAACAATGAGATGGACGACAAAGGGCATGTAGGTGTGGATTTGAGGCTACTATTTTCCAGGAATGGAATAGGAGGGAAAAATGTAGGGCCAGCTCTGTCATTAGCTAGAGCAAGATGGCTGCCTTGGAGACTTAGTAGAAGAGGGAGGGAAGGAAGGAAGGAAGGAAGGAAGGAAGGAAGGAAGGAAGGAAGGAAGGAAGGAAGGAAGGAAGGAAGGAAGGAAGGAGGGAGGGAGGGAGAAAGAAAATAAAAGAAAGAAAGAAAGAAAGGAGGAAGGGAGGGAGGGAGGAAGGAAGGAAGGAGAAAGAAAGAAGGAAGGAAGGAATTAGCCACAAAATTCAGATGACCACAAAGGGGCAGCAAAGGGACAGCATTTTTGGCTGCCATCTAGTGGCAAACTGGATTTTTGCAATCCAGATTTGATCTTAGCCTTGAAAGTAGAGTTTGCGTGTGAGGAAAATAGAGAAAATCAATGTTGATTTTTATGTCAGATAAAAAGAGATTGTGAGGATGAGATTTTTGCTACCGATGCTCGGATAGCAGTATTTTTGTCTCTCCCCAAAGCAGGAAAATCTTTGATGTACCCCAGGTGAGGCAAGATGGGTGGGAAACAAGCAAGCAAGCAAGCAAGCTTAAGTTTGGCCTAATCATTATTAGCTGCACTGAAAGTTCAAGCAGAGTGTATTATTCTATGTCACCCTTCAGTTTTCCAAATAAACCTTTGGAAGGGATTTTTTTTTCATGAAGAAGGGGAGTGATCCTTTTAGAGCTGCCAACAACAATCTTGTTTTCTTGTGAACAGAAAACAAAACACTCTTCAAGTGCATGAAAATTTGAGCTAAGATTTCTTTCTGGTTTTAGTCCTGAACTAGACTTCATTAGTGCATACCTCAAGGAGAATTTACCCTTTTGTCATCCAAATTTCACCTTGTTCAAGTGGTTGAACTCATTTTAAATGATAGAATAACAGAGTTGGAAGGGATTTGGGGGTCTTCTAGTCCAACCTCCTGCTCAAATAGGAAACCCTGTACTATTTCAGACAATTGGTTGTCCAGTCTCCTCTTAAAAACTTCCAGTGTTGGAGCATTCACCACTTCTGGAGGCAGGTTGTTCCACTGGTTAATTGTTCTAACTGTCAGGAAGTTTCTCCTTAGTTCTAGGTTGCTTCTCTCCTTGATTAGTTTCCATCAGTTGCTTCTTGTCCTGCCTTCAGGCACTTTGGAGCAAGGCTTTTCAACCAGTGGTATAGGTACCACCTGTGGTACATTGGCACCTGGCAGGTGGTACACGACCATCCTAGAAAAGTGGTAGCGGGGGAGGGGAATGAGCTGAACCGGTGGCAGCACCGCACAAGCCTGAGCGAGAGATGGCTGGAGCTACAGGGCTGTCAGGGCTCAGCGGAAGCACCAGGATCAGCGCCAGGATCCAGCTGGAGCTCAGCGCTGATCCTGGCGCTTCTGCTGAGCCCAGAAGACGCGCCGATCAGCTGGAATGTTGCAGCCTCTCCAGGGTCTTGTGATTTACATTCAGATGCTTAGCAACTGATTCATATTTATGAGGGTCACATTGTCCCAGGGTCATGTGAAGTGACCAAAACCTGCTGCAACCACCCAGCAGATGGGGGGAATAAAAACCAAACACCACCCCACCCCACCCCCGCTGCCAATCCTCAACAGAAATGCTCACAACAATGAAAACCTCGGACAGGAGGAAGAGCACCGCTGGGTGGGCAGGCAGGTGTCTTGCTCGGCTGTGGCTGGGGGGGCACTTTTTTCAGTGCCCCCCCAGGTAGTACTGATTTATTTTTTTCCTTTTTTTTTTAGTCATCAAGTTTTTGACACCTTGATAGGCGACTGGTGGTACTCGGATGTTGCCATATCCTAAAAGTGGTACAGTGGGTGAAAAGGTTGTAATGCCCTGCTTTGGAGAATAGCTTGACCCCCTCTTCTTTGTGGCAGCCCCTCAAAAATAGAAACACTGCTACCTTGTCCCCCCTAGTCTTTTTTTTCACTAGACTATAATCCAATTCCTGCATATTTGTATTTTTATATATATGTATATTTTAGCCTCCAGTCCCCTAATCATCTTTGTTTGCTCTTAAGGAAAATTTAATTTTTAAGTAAACCAAGCTCAAGGTAGAACTCTCAACTCTTAAATCTCAAAATTTAAGAATGATAATAGTCACTTTTCCTGATTGTTTTTCCTCTTCTTTCTCTGTGGACTGCAGATAATTTTGCAATCAATGCACAAATACAAGCCCAGAGTCCACATTATCATCCAGGATTCCCGGTTTGATCTCTCCCAGACCCCATCTTTGCCTGCAGCTGGTGTTCAGACGTTCTCTTTCAAAGAAACCGAATTTACGACGGTCACCGCTTATCAAAACCAGCAGGTAAATTAACCTGCCCAAGGTACAAGCAGAGTTTTGTGGGCAGATTGGTGAGAATTATGATACTCACAGTTCTTCCTTTGTTGTTTGTCTGCCAAACATCCATAGATAACAAAACTGAAGATTGACCGGAATCCCTTTGCTAAAGGATTTCGAGATCCTGGAAGAAACAGGTAAAAAAAAAGTGCAATTATTTGACCGACTGAGCTATGGATGGTTTAAAGACTTTTAAATGGATAAACAATAGATGCTTTGGTTTACTAATTGCCTACATTATGAAAAAAAAAATACAAATAGGTCATCATTAATGACAATTGCCTGTAGCTTTTCAGTTTCCTCATGATAGTTTGAAGGCACTATTAGAAGCGAATATTTGTAGCTCAGGATTGAAAAGAAGGGTGCTTGGTGTTCTCTAAGCTTGGTGGTTTTCTCGCAGACGTTTCATGACCAAGCTAGGTAACATCATCAGTGCTAGTTTGCTGTCAAGATGGTACTTGTCTACAGTACATTTTCCTGGGACTACCTGCTGGATTGTTTCTAGGAAAAGATGCATTGCAGTTGTGTCCTGACTTTGAAGACACCTGCTATTTTTTTAGTTCAGGAAATACATTTTGGAAATTGGATCTGAACCACAACACAGTTGGCCTCATTGAACATGAGTAAAAAAACAGTACCGTACTTTCCGGCGTATAAGACGACTTTCGAAAGCGTTGAAATCGGCGCTGAAGTCGGGGGTCATCTTATACGCCGAGTCGTCTTATATGCCAGAAATAATGGTAGTTTCCGGCATATAAGACGACTTTCTAGGCATGCAACTCGGCATCGAAGTTGGGGGTCATCTTATACGCCAGGTTGCCTTATACGCCAGAAAATACGGTAGTTATTAGGTTAAAAAGCTATGGTGGCACTGTGGTTAGAATTGCAGGCAAACTCTGCCCACTGGCAGCAGTTCGATCCAGACCGACTCAAGGTTGACTCATCCTTTCATCCTTCCAAGGTCGGTAAAATGAAGACCCAGATTGTTGGGGGTAATAGGCTGACTTTGTAAACCGCTTAAAGAGGAGTGTAAAAGCACTGTGAAGCAGTATCTAAGTCTAAGCGCTATTGCTGAAAAAAGATGTCAAATTAGGGTTATCTGTGATCATAATAAAGCTTACTTGGATTTGATATTGTCGTGCAATGCGTAAGTAGGAGTGCATGCAACTATTCCTGTATAAAAGTATATTGTAATAGACTCCCCTGTGCATAACAATCACTCTCTTTTTGGAAGGGAATATCCCTCCCAGATTTCTCTTTTAACACCTGAGCGGAATTCCTGTGAAGGAGTTTAGGGCTTGGATTTCTACCTCTTCCAGGTAGAGATTGGCCACAATGGGGGGATGGATACAGGTGAAACCATAAAAAGAAGCCATCTGTGTTAAGATCGAACAGCCCTCTCTCAACAGAGGGGGAGGGATAATACGACACCACCTTTCTCCTGTTTACAACACAGTCTTTTCAGCAGTTCCAAGAAGGTTCCACACCCATTTGCACTATTCAGGTGTCCCTTCCATGTGGCCTCAACAACTCTCAGGAAGAGTACTAACGACCAGATGGTTGCAAGGAATATAAATCTTTCCATTCTCCACCATTCAGTCAGAACTGAGGACGCTTCTTGGATGAGAAGCGAAACATCTTCAAGGAAAACTCAAGAAAGTTCAGTTGCCTTTAAAAAAAAAAGGCACCTTTAGGACAATCCAGAGAATTGTATTTAAAAAATGCCTCTTCTGGGTTTCTGGATTCTCCAGGAAACATTTTCAGGAGATCATAGTTGACTGGCAGAGAAGCAGGGAAGAAGGCACAGATATCATGGCTTTGAAGCTGTATAGGAATGTGTACCTTCTTAATTCACTTTGTCCCAAAAATGTGGTTAAATCCACCCTTGTGCTTATTCTCATGAATGGGGCGCTAGACTTCTGCTCCAATAGCTTTTCCAGTGGCCTTGTTCCATGGGGATGCAAGTCTAATTTCCAACTATCATGTTGC